AATTTATTGAACGGAATCATTTTTCTCGATTCTAGGAGCATTGACACCTCCTTCAATGGCTATTGAATATAGGTGGAACAAACTTTGTGCAAACATTTAGGTTTCGTAGAGCTTGCTTTGCACCATCGAAGCTTCGCAAACCCTTTTGAAAAGCAAGAACAAAAGGGCTCATCAGAAGAGTGAAAACGGTGAAATTTATGAGACATCCCGAGCAAGAAAATTACTTGGTTCTGTTATATTTTGAGAGTATCATTAATTTGCTCGCTCAGACAATATTACCGGTCTAGACTACTTAACTTTTTTCAAGAAACCAGTAAGTATTTGAGAGTTGCTCTTATCATCGAAGTTGGCCATATGCGGTCTATCACGACATCATAGTTCGAATAGCCTATTACTTGCCAGGGACAGGTTGACCTTATAAGTGCTCGTTCTGTTCCGGTTACCAGCACCTTCCCTGAAACATCTTGTTAGCAACCTGCTGGTTGCTGGTCATTGACTTTTTGTCTAAGCTTCATACCTAACCTTCATACTTGCATCGTACATACAAGCTTAATATTATACTTTCGCTGCAAGTGTTTTTTGAAGTTCTAACTTTACCAGAATATGATGATCATGAGATTTTTGGCAATTGCTCTTGGAGACAGCTAGGCAAAGCTTCAGCTAACATGACTGGGATTGGGGAACTATACGGTATTGTTATAGGCGTACATCAAAAACTAGGTACAGAAAATGAGCGATTTTTTCTAACCTAAATGCACATACTCAGGGAGTAGGGGGGGGGGGGAGGAGGAGGAAGATAAGCAGGACCCTTACGCTAGATTTTCCAATTTCTGTTTTCTGCTTAGTTGTTCCCCATGATTGTCAAAATTTATTTGTAGAGATTTTCAGCATGCTGATTACAAGTACTATAGTTCCTTTTGCTACTTCTGCTCCTTGTACATACTTTTTGACTTTTGCGAAGATTTTACCGTAGTGCTACCGTAGTCACACTAAACCTAGCAAAAATGCTTCGTTTACTGTAACGAAGTCAAAATGGAGCTTTTGCCGTAGTACATTGGAGGGAAATTGGATGTTAGGTCGGACTTGAACAACCCCAAAATACAATTTTTCACAATCCATGGTGTGGATTTCGTAAAGAATCACTATTGCAACCTTTTTCTATGACTGCAGAATTCTTAACAGATGTCATTTTGATAAATGCCTTCGACCCCCGTCATTTTTGAATACATGATTTGAAATTTTTTGGACTATGTACGAGTTCGGATCAGGGCTCGGCACGAGCTGGCACCATAGAAATTTCATAACGAAGTCCCCTTTGATCTTGAAGATTTCGTACGAAATCGCCTATGGCCCTAAACCCTGAACGTAAAAAAGCCTAAAAACGAAATCACAATTTCTGTCTCTTTGCGACCACAAAAACGATAACCCCTTTGCTTTTATTCCCAAAAATGATAGCCAGCTTGACCCGGTGCCAGCTGTGCCCCCTGGTTCACATACATCCCAATCGTAATTTTGACATTAATAGCTGGTCCGCTCTGGTCCGTACTGGTAAAAATTAAGAAAGTGGCCTTCTACGTTTACCCGTGTTTACTGATTACTGTTGATACAATTCTTTTATAGTTTACCAGTCCATTTTCTAGAATATTCACTTGGAAGGCTATTTCAATGGCATTTCACTCTTCACACTTCTTGCGTAATCTTGCATCGGGATCGTACACTTCAGTTATCTCTCGCTTCACTTGCTTCACCATACAAAGTGTGTGGCGCTCCGAAAACAAGCCGGTATACCACTTAGTTGGGCAAGGCTTGTAAAATGTGAGCTTGTGAGCGTCGAGGCTGGTCTCGCCTCGCTTAAACTCTCAAATTATACTCAAGCTGATGAGTGCCTTTGATGTGAAAGGAGGGGTTGTTGATGACTAATGAGGCGTCCTCCTTCTGATATGGAGGGTTAGGAACAGGTATGAATGCTTTTAATGAACTTGCCTAAAAGTTGTTCCTCCAACAGCAGCATACCGCTCTCGAACTTGATTTTTTTTGTGCAGTGCTTTTAGGAGTTTTTTTCTCTTGTTACATCAGCTAAAGCTTTTTTCTGAATGTGTTTTTCCTAACAGATTTCAACAATTTTTTCTGCGCCAAAGTCCCCATTCTCGTATCTCTCCGCAAACCGAATCTGGTATGGATTGTACAGAGCTGGATGCCGACACTAATTCCTCCTACATAAAAAGTACTCCAAAGTATCGTTCTGCTACAAAGCTGTGTCCAGAAAAAACCGGAAGCCCTCCCCCCCCCCCTGAATGCTTACAGACAGAGGAGATCTATGTTCGCAAAGCATCCATCAAACCATAGACAAGCTCTTATGCGCATCACTCGCCGCTTTCTGTGTTTGCTTAACTGGTTTTCTCTTCTTAGAGCTAACGCTTTTGCTACGGCTATTGCCCATTAAGAACTAAGTAACATTCTCGCATTTCAGCCTTATTTAGAAGTCCTTCAGTAATTTCTTTGCCCAGAAAGGATCCCGAAGTCCCAATGAATATTCTGGAAATCGGTTTTTGCTATCATTTAGTGCCGTTTTTGTTTACTACATCATTGTTAGTGCATGTCGTGTCCGATGCTGTAATATGACACCCAGATACTATAACCGATCACAACTCGCTGAACTTCATCTCTGTACTTTGCCAGCAGAGAGCATTTTCTGACTGCCTGCAAGATGTGCAGAATTTCTATTGTTTCTAACCACATATTCTTTGACACGATGTTTAACATGAGCGGTGCTGCACATGGTGCATCGCTGAATTTACAACTCTCTCCTGCTCCCTACAATCGGTCTCCTTCCGATACAAAAAATGCCATCGTAGAGGCACAAGTCTACTGTCTAACATACCTTTCTGGTCCTCAGCTCTAGCTCATATTGTTCAGACTAAGGAGCGGTAAACAGTAAACGAGCAATCGGTGCGGCGTCGTGTGCGACAGAACCTTCGCGCGGTTCATTTTTAAGCTGGCATTTCGCTCGTTGCAAGGCGTAGAAGAATGCAAGACCTGATTAGAAAACGAACCTCTCCTATTTTGAGGAACGTAACCCCCCCCCCTCTCCCCTTGTGGTTATATTAGATGTGCAGGCTACACGGGTGGCAAAACCACAGATTTGGCTATTTTTGGGTCCATACGGGTTATTCGGCGCGCTGATCAAGAATATGGTGTGATTTTGCAAAGTAGTGGGGTTTTCTGGTGTTACCATGGTCTACCGAATCGAATCAAACCTCATGGTTAAGGCTAAGTACATCACCCACCCAAAAACCCAATTATGAAACGAACCTTCCCTAATTTGAAGCACGACCCCCCCCCCCCCCCACCCTCCCCAAAAAGATTCGCTCAGGCACAATCGTGATCATATGGGATAAAGATGCTGAAGAGGCTCTCTATATGAAATTTCGAAATCTGAGATTTTGACAGACGTACTATATACACGTACTATATACCCACCGTAACCACATAGAAAAGCGTTTTTTGTGCGAGAAGTGAGATATATGTTACCCCATGCACCAAGTTTCAAAGAAGTCCACGACTTTGAAATTATGGGGCCCGGTTTTTGAGATTGCTATATAGCTCTCGCTTTCATTACAAAATGTAGAACAATACGTCAAATGACGAACGATGTAGTGTTACGCATAAAAACAGTGCGAAACACAACACTTGGCGCAAGTTCTTCATGAACTTGTCCCGAAATTATGCAACGAAATGTCGATCTCCAACGTTCCTCGTGCTGCACATGGTGTAGCACGAGATTTTGCTGCGCGCTATTTCGCGGTCCAAAACTATTACATTAATCGACGCTCTTCTGATTTCCTTTTTTCTGAAGTAAAGCTTGCATGTGGGAACTTTTGAACCCAGCAAAAGAGTGTGGAAAACAATTTATCTATGTTATATTAGATTGAAAAGAAATGAGAAAGGCTACAGAATTCGCAATCTTTAAATTTTCGAAAAAAATTCAAATATATTTTGAGAAGAGGTGATTATGATTTTTTGGTGCTTAGAGCAAAAATTGTTTCGAGCGGCGGATTTTGAGCTGCTACAAGAAGGGTTTCCAGAAATTTCGAGTGATTCTAAAAAATTTCAAAATGACCGCTACAGTCCGACTAAGGAGAAATGTAAAAATCATGACCTTGCCTGGGAATATCTGTGCTTGAAAATTTCCGAAAGTATTTGTGATTCTCGAGTTTTTCCCATATTTGAGGTAAGATAGAATTTATGATATAATAACGATACGATGTTTATTATATACGGAAAACATAAGTTCTAGAGGGAGACGTTGTTTCAAGGAATATGTAAGCAATTTTTTGCATTTTTCCTCGAGATCGCTCAATAGGTTGCAGCTTTGAATATTCGATGATTTGACCATAATGTGTTTTGAAAAATAACCTATAGAAGACCATATACGACTCTGTTTCAAATAGTCCACATCAGCGAAAACACTTATAATCAAGGCCTGTAAAGTATAGTTGATAGAGAAAGAGAACGGGAAATAAAATCTATGACCACTTTAAAATTATGCTGCAATTCGTGCCTGTTTCTGGAATTTCTTTCCAAGAATGACATCATTATGATATCATCTACTAATTCTTTGGAAAATGATGATATTATCATTTTGCGTTGAAGTGATGCCTTTACTTTATTACATAGTACACCTCATTCTCTTCTTTTTACCACATCTTGCAATATCCACGAAAAAGACCATCTCCTCAGAACTCTTATTAATGTGTGTTTATAGAGAGAAGATATCCTAGCGCATGTTGCCAATCCGCTTTCGTTCTTTCTCTTGCCGTTACCTCCTCTTTATTTCTTCTTCCGCGCGTCCAGGATAATCATTATCATTGCATTGCTATTCGGATTACTGCATTCCCCATTGTATCCTTTGTATTCCCAAGCCCCAACTACCGTTTTTTCGTGATGATTACCGCATTCCACATCAAAAACTAGCTATTCAAGTATAAAGTTCAGTGGTGCGCCGGAGGTCGCGCCATGAGGTTACTGACTCTACTGGTACTGGTTGCGCATTTCATAGGTAATTGTTTACTCTTTTGTTTACCTCTATCACCTTTCAAAAGGGACATCTACAGCATCTAACGCACAAGACGAAAACGCATCAGACATATTTGAACCGGCCTCTATCGATGATGTTGACGGACCAGCCGATTTTGCTGGACGAACAGAGGAGATTAACGAAGGGTAAATTTCCCAAAAGATTTCGGCTCGAATTTCTCCCCTTATCTTTCATTTTTTTTATTGTTTTATCTCTTTCAGATCGGATGCATTCGTAATAAGCACTGCTGTTTTGGAACCTGAGCCAACCACCGTCACTGCTCCCAAAAAAGAAGTAGGAGTTGAATGTCTTCTAATTCTGTTTATTTTTCTACAAATATACTCTTTTGATTACCGAAGTTATAACCTCGAGATTTGCTTTCGTCGTTCGCCTAATCGAGGTTGTTTGAAATGCAAAAATCAAAATAAATTCAAGTTCGACCAAAAAATATGGATCAGTAAATAGTACTGCCCAAAGTAAAGTTTTACTTGATTACATGTAAAAAAAAACATTATGAGCAGTACAGCTCCTAGTCTTTGAGATAGAACGAAAATTGTACTTAAAAAAATCAAATAAATTAAAATTGACATATTTTTTCTATCGCGTATTGTACGACGGAGGCATAGCAAAGTTATACAGCAAATACATCGGTGACTTTCCAAATCCCGCCAAATAACATATTTTGTGATCTATTTGATCCTGTCTTTTGATGAAAGATCAAAAATTATGGATGAAATTTTCTCCAGAACTTTACCCTTTCCTAGTTGAACACAACTACGTTTGTGCTGATCACTGATAGTTAAGGGTCTTCTAGGCGGTTTAATTTACTCTTAATAGGGAATATGAAAATAATTTTTTAACGTTGACAAATGCCTGAATACGTTGTCATCAATTCTGAAGAAATATATGAATTTAAATTACATATTTTCAGCCCTCTTTCCATCCTCTCTGTCTGTAGGAACCTTAATGACTCATGAATTTGCTGAAACACACTCGCATCTCAACAAGAACTTTAAAAAATTCGCCGATTTGCTTTGAAGAGCAATGTTGCGCGACCATGAACATCTCACGTCATCGTCATGAACTGGAACTTTCTACCTCCTTTGAGCCTACGTCATTTCCAAGCAGTCCATTGTCGTAGCTTATCAATCATTCTAATACCAAAAAAGTACATTGACATTTTTTGTTCAGTAATCAAATAAAAATAACCGACAAGATTGTAACACTATAATCACATTTTTAGGAGCACACGGTGGAACCTCTGGAGTTGACTACGCTAAGCGACAAAGGCCTCAACAGTAAGTTTCACTTCACACCTGCACCTGCACCTGCACGAACTCACCGGGTGTTCCCGGGTGTCGTTGAAAGTTGAGTCACTGAGTCAAGATACATTTTGTTAAATCAGGGAAAAATCCTTGGAAAACTAATTTACAAGTTCCTGGAATCAAAGTTGAGTTGACTATGCGCTTAGTCTCGTCGATACCGTCAAGCACAATCTGTTACTCTGAAAGAGCATATACATATCAGCAGCTAACCCAGAAATGAAAATCGTGATTTTTGCTTGATTCTATCCAAGGGGCTTATTTGGCATTTTGGTCACGAATATCATATTTACTTTGCACAGTAACGCTATCCGGTAGAGCTCCTTTAGAATTACGGTAGGGGCTCGAAATCGCGGATTTGGTCAAAACTCCAAGTAGGGGGTTATTTGCAAGCTTGATTATCATATTGATTTCGTATGTTAATGCCATCTCTAGGCATTAGCGTACCTCCTACGTAAGGGTGTATGGTAGGTGGCTAAAAAGTCCCAATTTGCTCAGAACTTTGCTTAGAGGAATTTCTCGCATGCTGATTATATGCTCATTAGAATTACGCTCTCTTGCTCACACCTTATCTGGAGTTATCGTAGTCAAGTTAGAGTGCAAAGAGTACATTTTATGCTGTTCGGAACAATTCGGGTCCCAAAATTCACAGGCCTTTGTCATAGGAAAAGAGCGCGGTGTTCGAATTCAGCATGTCAAAGACTCCCGCCCTCTTTTACAAAGCTTGCACATCATAAGTCTTCCCGACCCCGCCTAACCCTACGCGGATATATGCACAAAATGCTCGAAAAACCCCGTTTTTAAAAAGTCCCCAAAATGACAACGCGGACTAGTTGTGCCTTCTCGTCCTAGCCTCTGCCACAGTGGCAGCAACGCCGTGGAGCCGTGGATGTTAGGTGGAAAGACCTGTTGAAACCCGTAAGGGGGAAAATCAACGGATATATCGTTATTATAAGGCCCTGGGCGGAGCGCCGCAAAAAAACGACAAACATGCCAGGTTTCACGTGTTGAACGTGTTCTTTCGCAAGCGCGCGAATTTTAAACACAGGGCTCAAACAAACAAATAGCTCGTTTACAGCGACAAGCACTCACATGACACCCACCGAATTTGGGTTGTATATATACAATATTACTCCAAACTATGTTATGTGAAAAGTTTCAAAAACTTGTGTGTCCTTATATCCGTTCCCGAATTTGTTGGTTTATAGACCAGCATCAAACCAACTGGGTTGGTTCGGAGCATAGATATCGGAGAGTTCACATATGTACTAGACCTTTTTGATTTGGACGACTAGCACGCTCAAAAATCTATCATATAGTGAAGAGAGCGAATCAAACCATTGCCTCTCCTCTTTTTTTTAGCCAAAAATAGTTCAAACCTATGCACTGACTAAAATCGCGCTCCAATCACATGCGGCGTCCTTTCAACTATGTGGCGAAAAATGCATCGCCAGCATGTGGAGGCCACAGATTTGGCTAGCCTAAGAGGTTTTCAACATTCTGAACACTAAAATGGTACCATATTCAATGACGGAGCCTTAATCAGCGTTCTTTTTTTTGCTTTTTTGTATTTTAGATAATTCAGAATGCGCTATTTTCGCATTATCGTTATGTTGATCAAATAAGGGTTTCCCTACTAACTTTTACGTCAAAGGGATTTCTCAAGTTTTCGCGAAGTCATGGGGGATTTCGTTCTCAGAAATGCTCCAATTTAACGCATGCAGGGCCCTGGGACTTGTTGCAATGGCCTATTTAGTGGACCCTGTAGTAAAATAGGGAGACCCGCCAACCTCTATTTTTGGTGAGACACTGTTTTTGAGCACAAGATCTACTAAATCATACCTCGAGAAATATGTCATGAACTTGAAGAACAAGTGAACATCGCCAAAATTCAAAATTTCATGTTTATGACCTAAGAACTGTACAGAATGGACTGAGCTGTTCAACAGTAGATACGGTAATGTTTCGCTTCTGTGGTGAGACAGAAGAGATTAGCATGAATTATATCATGCATACGGAACAACGTAAATGAGCGAATATAAATCGTTCCGAAACCATTCGCTACCAATGTCTTCGATTTCAAAAGCTTGTTTGGGTTCTATTTCGTACGGCAATGCTTATTCGTGTTTTAGCAACCATTCAAGTGGGCAATGTTCCGCCGAACGGGCATGAGGGGACATCGCCGCTGCCTGAGGAGGCAAGTAGACGGATTCAGCTGAGAAGTAGACCTTGAACATCGTCTCATGATAACAAGATTTCAGGCAATGGCAGCCGATCCGTTCAGCTTAGACGATCAAGCAAAGACAATAACTACGGAACAGCCACTGGTAAGAGATAAATTCATTAAGGCGAACTTTTTGCCTTCCAGACTTCACCTATTTAGGTAGCTCCGGTCGTGACAGTAACCCGCGAAAGCGCCACCAACTCTTCTACAGCTGAACCAACTACTCAAATAGCATTCATCACTGGAGCCGTGGACGATGGGCCATCGCTACCTGCAGTGATCCCAATCATAGCTCCTACACTTGAGGGTAGAGTACTGAAGGAGAAGGAAGATGAGGTAGGTGGCTGGAAAAAACAAAAGAAGTGTAAATGCTTTTAAAAAAATGGTTTATTTCGAACCAAGATTGCCGGGTTCATGACGTAGGGACAGAGATCACGAAATCGAAATTTATTATGAACGTTTGAAGCGATCTTGTTTCATAAAGTCAAAAGTGAGGTTGGTTCAAACTTCAACAAGTTTTTTAGAGAATCATTCCCTCACATATTGATTTTTTTTCACTCGTATTTCAACAACGCAGTTATGATAGACGGCAAATAGAAGAGTTGAAAAAATATTTGACAAAAAAATGAGACTGCCCTTAGTTAACCAACTTTGCATTCAGTATATTTAGATAGAAAACATCATTATTTTTGACTGATGTCTGAAGAATCTTTCTTGCATGTGAAGGTTTTACGATCTGAAAGAAGTACAAATCATAGTTTCCGAGAAACGACTGTTAAAATGTTAGAAATTTATCACGACTTTCGATTTTAGTTATTAGTTTTGCAACCCTTTGCTATTAAGTAAAATTTGTTCCGACCCAGACTCTGTATTTGCATAAAAATTTTAAAGTATGTTTTTTGAATATTATAGAAGGATTAGAGAGCACTAGAACAATCAAGGTCAAGTAACGACTAGGTAAATTTCATTGTATCGTGGAAGAATGACCCCATGGTAAACAATCAACAATCACTACAATTAGCCAGTCTCCGATGTAGACATGATCTCGGTTGAAGTGGTAGCGCATAGCTAATTCATTAGAGCTTACGAACAGCATTGCTTCATCTGATCATCAAATCCTAATCCACGCCAATCAACTGCTTGGCGTTCTTGCATAAATCTTGTCCTCAGGGATCACCACAGTCATTGCCTTTTCAGATACAAAGTGCAATACGTAGCACGACAACAACCGAACTTCCTCCTCTGGCACAGACTACAGAACTGCCAAGCATTATCACAGCGCCTGCTTCGGAAAGCCAGGAAGAAGGCAAAAGTAACGAAGAAATCTCAGCAGTAACTGCAACAACGGCAGCGAAATCAGAGGAGAATGCTCAGACCTCTGCTGGAATTGATATGGTCAGCCATGATATCACTGGTAAGTAATCCAAATTTTGGTTTAGTGCCCTGGGGTCTAAAGGTTTTTCAATAACACAAGCATAATTACGTACTCCTGGGAGAGCAGAAAATGTGTGTAAGGGGAAAATCCCCACCAGAGGTGAAGAAGTTAGAGAGGTACATTCCGACGTCTGTTTAATTTTGTCGCTTCATCAAGATGATTAATATCGCTTTTGAAAAAAGTAATCTATTTTCCAGTTTTTTGGAAAAAGTAATCGGTTTTCCAATTCTCCAGTTAGGAGAGTAATGTAGCTAATCTATCTTCATAAATAAATCTTCTTTCGTGTTTCCAGCCAAACAAAAACTAATAAGTTATTCGAGCATTAAATAATATTTAGCGTCCACTTTTATTGCCTTACTCGCGCGACGAAAAAAAATGATTCAAAATGTATTTATCAACTGCTCATATTCGTCAGACTAAACACCTTAACTGGCAAAAAGTATTCTATAGTCTCTTTTGTCGCTATCTCAACATTGCTCAAGTAGCTATGCTATTCTGTAAAATATTCAGTTATGCAATGCCATATTCACCTCAAAATGTTCTTATTTAATCTCTAAAAAGTGAAAATAATATATCTGACACCATAACACTTTGATAGACCACAAAGCTGCAAAAATTATGTTACTGCGTCTGGCTATCACATGGTTATAATGCTCAAGTTCCTTGTAACTTAATATGTGAGCTTACACACGTGCGCGACAACGACGACTTACTAGTAACGTCAGTAGAGCCCTCTCTAGCAGAAGAAACTGTGGAAATGTGTAATTTTGTTCAATACACATCCGATCAAACCAAGAGAGGGGAGAAAACGAGAGGAAGTACCTGCAAATTTACAAGTTGTAGTGTCAGAAGTCGTGAACTAGCGCGCATGGTGTGCAATACGCACGTCGAATTACAAATGACTTGACGAAATTAGTCAGTATAGTGTATGGACTAGGACATGGGTCACGAAGTTCCCCGTCGCGGATTTGTGAGAACTCAGCCACCTTTTCGACCAGTTCCGTTAAATTTAGACTCGGATCGAAGGAAAATTTTTAACAAATAAGATTATCGACAACAAGGTCACCAGCATGGTCCGACTTCCTAAAAGCAGAACATTGGCAGCCTTTGCTATGTTTCTTCCTAAGCCTAAGTCGTCTGTGTTAAGAGGTTTATATGTATAAGATCTTTCGTTGATTCTCCTGCTTGCTTTGCAAATTTGCAAATGATTCGGTAATTGGCTACGGCTTGTGCCCAATTGCGTTTATGACTCCAGGAGTTTGCCTGCAAAGGCATTTTACCGTAATTTTTGCACTATTTGTGTCCTTGCTGGTACAAACATTTGACGAACAGGATAGTTCCTAGTCAATGTTGCATTGGAGGCCTAACCTCAAGGGCGATGTTAACAATTTTACAAAAAAAATTATTATAGTGGTTTTGCGGAGCTTTTCAAGACTTTAGGTGTATTCATTTGGTATAAAAATCTGTCAAGTCTTGGGCAATCTTCGGGGATACCGCACTGACCTTAAAATTCATTGGACTATAGCTGAAAAAAGAAGAGGAAAAACTCGCTATCAAAATGTTTGAAAAAAAAGAATTTTAGCCACAGAAGCAACAACCTCTGAGCAACCAGTGACCTCTGAGTTACCTGCTACAACAACAACAACAACAGCTACGACAACAACAACAACAACAGGCGCGATAACAACAACAACAACTACCACAGAGCGCACTACTACGATTGATGAAGATGGTGAGCCATCTGCGGATGGATGTCAGTCATTTTTAGCTATTGAAACGCCTCACAAATCTTGTAATTTAGCGCCAAGTTGGAGATGAAATTCTCTAATTGTCAAAAATCAATTTGATTGTTTTTACAGCGGAGCCATTCGACCAGGACAAGCTTTCAGCTGTTTTCGAACAGGACGGCTCGTTCATTCCTGATCATTTGGCTAATCAGGTAATCTCAGTTTGATTACTTTGGAATTTCTTCGTGCAAAGTTCTTTCCAGCCAACCTCCGAACCTGTCTTCCCAAGAGTCGAACTTCCAGAGGAAAGCGCCGAGTTAATTGGTGGTGATCAACGAGCGAAACAGGTAACGGCAATTCCACGACCTTTTTCCAAACATTCTAATTACCAAGGGAATCGTTAGAATCATTGGAGGATTACTGTAGCAATAGCAATAAGGTTCGCCCATAGTACCGTGCTAGCGTCGTGCTGAAACGTCAAATGATCTATTCAGAGGCTTATGCTTAAGTTCCAGAACGGCGCACACGGCACAGGCACGGCGCTGGCACAGCGACGGCATGAACAACTCTGAACGCTGACTAATATAGACAAAAAGCATGTTTTTTAACTGCAATAATGACTACGGTAAATTCTGAATTAAAGGCTGATTTTGTAACTTCAATGCCTATTTCTATCTCCAGCTCATATAGAGAAAAGTGCTGCATTTTTGCAATTCATTGACTATGCGCTTCCAGAAAAACCAATCTATCCACTCCTAATGCAAACAGTTTTTTCAAGCGACATAGGAATTCACATTCCGAGGTGTCCTGTAAAAAAATAATCATTCGGAACTTCAAAATTTCAAGCAACTAGATACCTCTCAGATTTTTATGCTAACCAGAAATTACCAACCCTAATATTAGGGTTGGTAATTTCTAGTTATTGAGTAGAAACTGCAGAGGGCACTTGAACAAGAGGAGGTTCAGAAGTAATGAATTCAAGCGAAAGTTTGAAAGTTAGCGAAAGTTTTGTGACTAGCTGGCAATGAAGATACCATTTTAATTGTATTAATGCTGTAAGTAATCATCTGGGACTAGATAGATGCAAAAAAATGCTTCTTAGGCTCGAATCCAAAACATTTTTGTGGATGTCTTTTGTCGTGGAACTGCAGGTCCCAAAAGTAAATGTCAGGCGAAGCCGTTTTCAAAATTTTAATTTTTTTATTGCGGGACTGGCCAGCTTAATTGCTAGTCCTTAGTTTCCCGCGAGCAGAGCATAGCAGAGAAGTTTATCTAAGATTTACAAGAATAGGGAAGATTATCTCAATTTATTGATCCTAATGTACTTTTAGACTACGAGCACATCAACCTCAGTCACACCAAGTACAGAAAAAGCAACGTTTGTCATGGATTCTCAACCAACAACTGTGATTTTGGACTTCCACCAAGATGAAACGACAACTCGTAAGTATTTTAGATCGCATATTGCTAATAAAAATCCGCTCTTATGCTTCCGTTATCGCTTTTAACATGGTTAAAACTCAAAAGTGAACATTTCAGCGGCTGCAAAGAAAGAGGAAGAACCTTCGCCCCCTACGCTTCGTACGCTTCGTCCGATCATCATTCAGCCGATTGATACGAAGACGAATGTTAACGACTTCCAAGTCGGCCAACAATCGGGAGCTCAACTGGGTGATATTATGATGCCCACACAACCTACGGACTTCATGGCAAAACAAGAGGTGTTCACGACTACATCGACTACGATTCAAGAAACCACGACCGAAACTACGACAACTTCCGCAGCTCCAGTTCCAGTTGTGTTTGTAAATCAGCCACAGCCAGAGCCAGCTCCACGACCTGAACCGGAGCCATCTGCGGAAACTCCACGACCAGATCCTGAGCCACTGCCTGCGGTAGAGTCACCAGTCCAAACTCAACCTCAACCTCAGCCTGAGCCGGAGCCACAGCCACAACCTCAACCTCAGCCTGAACCGGAGCCGGAGCCACAACCTCAGCCAGAACCAGTACCTGAGCGACAACCTCAGCCGCAACCAGAACCAGAACCTCAACCGCAGCCTCAGCCAGAACCGTCTCGAGAGCCTGAGCCGGGACCAACCCTCCTTGCACGCCCGCCACAGCCTGCACCCGAGCCGGAGCCGCAACCCGAGCCAGAACCGGAACCTCGGCCGACGGGGGTCGAAGCAGGAGTCGATGAGACGCTACAAAATCTAAAGAAAGCTGCTCTTACCATGCGAATCACTTCACTAGAGTTTATGGATGGTTTCGCCGATAAAACAAGCGGCAAATTTAGGAAACTTTATGACCAAGTTGTGCCCGAGGTAAGATTCGCTAACTTTGGTTATGACCGAAAGAATCTTGCATTTTTTCTAGCTGCAAAACGTTCTGAAGTCAATTATGCCAGACAACTTCGTTAAATTCGAAGTGGAATCGTTCATGAAAGGTTCAGTGATTGTGAACGGTTTGATTTTCACACAAAATGATATCCCTGATGCTGAGGAACTGGCTACGCAGTAAGTTGTTTAGAATAATGTAAATATGAAAACTCTGATAAGTTTACAAATACCAAAAGACTCAAGATGAATGAAAGGTGAAATGGACTGAAGAATAACAACTTTTTCAGAATCGAAACTGTCATATCAGTGAACGGTTCTAAGTTGGGACAGAATGAAGTCGATTCTAGGAGTATTACTGTCAATGGTGAGTGTCTATTCTCCCTATACATCCTGTACAAAAATCATATCTTTCCAGGAATACCATCAAGAGCCTACATTGAACGGGTCCACTCGTCGTACCCTCAAAGTTCATCGCCATCCCCTCTTTTGATAGGATCCATAATTGCCGTCGGAGTGCTCGTCATATTAATCGTCGCCTTTATTGTCATTGCGGTAAGTTTTTTATGAGTATTATGCGAGGACTACCAGGTAACCAGTCCTATAAAAGTGAAAAAGAGTCGCCTACATTTGATTGCTACAATCAAACCCTTTTCTTTGCCATCAAAATGATCTTTTGATAATATTAGGTTGGCTAATAAATAATTTCGTTTTGACATGCAACTTCGAAGCTCCATAAAAATGCAAATAACTATCATTTAGCTACAATTTCTTGTGGGCGAATAGCTTTAAGCTTCTATTGTCACAAAGAACTCATTACATAGAATTTACAAGCATGATAAAAGACAGTTGTGACCTTATATGGCTAGCATTCCAAAAAACTTTTTTGGAATTTTCAAGTTTCGCTAATAGCTTGTAAGTGCAGAGACGAGTATTTTGTTAATCGAATACATACAGGCTAGTAAAGCTTGTTCAGTTCAGGTGAACTGAACTCAACCCATGAGTTCACCTCACATCAGGTGAAGTGATGATCGCCCACCTACCCATGCTATATGCATGGCGAGTGAACTGATAGTTGACCATCCGTCCACCTGCTGCAGTCAACTCGTGCACATCAGTTCACGTTGAAATGAACGTGAACTGATGTTAGACGAGTGCAAATAGTGTGTAAAAGAGGAGACACAGACAAGATTCGCGTAAGTTGCTCCTGAGTAACTTACGATACACACCAATTTGCCTAACACTGCGGACAAAATCGGCGCAAATCTGCACAATACGGGGGCCCATTAAGGAGAGCATCGATGAACAGCTGATTTTGGCGTCGAAAGGAGAAAAAACATTTTTTTCTTTGTTGTAGAGTATGCTGATTTTCTTCAAAAAGCTTCTTAAGGAAAGAATTTGTTGATTTAATTCTTTGAGTTCATATTGCAGCCACTTCATTTTTTCATGAAATTTTCGTTAAAAAATGTTTTTGTTCTATCCATGCGTGTGCTAGGCGAGATCCTTGATAGCGGTCATCATCGATTTTGCGATGGTGGTGGCTATCAAAGACGTCAGGCATACAGCAAAAGTGTGGCGCTGGCCGGTGTTGAACCACGGCCGCGTGCATTCAATTCCAGTCGCTTACCTGGCAGACCAAATTGGCTCAAGTGGTTTCTTTTTCAAGAACACACATGATTATCATGATTGGAAAGCGATCCGCATCCAGATCAAAAGCTCACTGGATGCTAGACTGAGGCGTGATGAGATCAACTCCGGTCCGCGTCGAGAGAGATGCCCTGATGGGGGGGGGGGGGGGGGGTTTACTACGGGCCACAATCTTTGGCTATGTGGCGGCCCACAATAGAGGTTGTGATCTGCTTTTTTTGTATCTCTGTAGCCAAAAATGTGAAAATTTCCGAGTATCTGCGCGTGGAAGTCAGTTTTGGGGCCATTCAAATTGCTTGAATTTGACCATCTATGGACATGCAGATGACTGGAAATATAAAAATCATGAACGTGCGTACCATTCGTTCCATTCGTGCACTTTTCGGAAACTTGACAAAAAAATCTGACTGTTTGCTTCCCTGCGCCATTTTTTCATAAAAAAAGATTTTTGAGGAAATAAAGTCAACCCTCCGTTTCTCCTTGATCTAATCTTTCGAATGGTTCCCTACATATACACACATATCTGTCTGTGTCATTTTTGCAGACCGTTAAAAGCGACCAAAATTATTTTTCAGCCAATCTCATATATTCGTGCAAAAGATCAAAAATTCCTTCGACTTGTAAAAAAAATCTTCATCAACATAAAACATACATACCTGCCAAAGCTTCTAATCATTCTCCTAGAATGCGAAGCTTTAACTCGTATACTATAGCTCCTTGATCGTAGCATTTTTTATGGACCTCGATCATAACGATTTTATAGATCCAATAGATGTTCCCAGCTTTGCGTCAGAATCTTGTCTCGTATGCAGGAAATTCTGAACAAGCAGATAGTAATCGTTTTGATTTGTTGGCAGTATTCTGAGACAACATGAATTGTCAATATAATTTATTGAACGCAGTTCGATTCCAACTTATAAGTTGTTCAAGAAGTTGCAGAATTTTAGCGGTTGTTTTGTAAAACCGGCACAAAAAACATAATTCTGGAATTTGGAACAATTGAAGAAAATGTTTCACATAGTTGCACTCCTTGGATAAGTGCTTATCACTGAATTTCTCAATGCTTCTTGAGCCGATCCCGTTCAATATATGAGGAACAAACGATACATGGTTATCGCAAGAAGCGATAACTATAAGGAAAGCTTTTTCTAGTCGAAGTGACCTTCCTTTACCACACCTAAATAACTTGATAGGGAACTTAACGGTGATTTAAATCTCTATTCTTTTTCTGCGGAGCGACTTTTCGAAAGAAGTTATTAGTATTTGAAACTCAAAATTTGTCAAGCCTTCGCTGGCTTAAAGTTAGCGAAAAGCTGTACAAAAAAGCTGTACAAAAATATCTATGCAGATTCTTACAGGTTGCATTCTCTTCTCGTAGTCAGTATACTCAAACAAATTTGATCTACCTTCAGCAGCTTTTCGATTTTGTGCCACTTATAGCATGACAAATTTAGACTTTTAAGCACTCACAGCTTCTTCCGGAGAGTTGTTATGCAAAAAAAATCAGATTTGGAATCAGCATTTACAGCCGCATCTGATGATTAACCCTTGGATTCAACGGCTTGGCGGCTGGAATGCGGGCTTCGTGACCTAACTGAGGCTAGGTAATGATCCGAGAGCACGCGCACGGAGACGCAGATTGTGTAGCGGGCGCGAGCGGCCTTAATTAGGTCACAAAGCCCCGCCTTTCAGCCGCCAAGCCAGTTGAATCATAGATTAGATACATGTTGAAAGGCCACTTCGACAAAAAAGACTTCCCTTGTCAGATACATATCATCCAAGAGATATTACTACTCTAATAAGTGAGAACTTTGTACAACTTGCAGATGCGGAGTATGGAACGGTCCGGTGTTCCACTTGTTTCAGTATTTGTGGGTATAAGCATGATTATTTTTGTTGTAGTACCCTTGGTTTGTGACTTGTCATGTCCTTTAACTATCTGGGGAACAGTTTGAGTACAGTACCCAAGCGATTGCTATTTCTCGGGCCTGTGTACTTTCTGTTTTGTTTTAAGATAATAAATTTCGATTTTTAGATAAATAATCGACGGACTAATGGCACAATGAAATTGAAAGATGACGATATGCCACGAATGGAAAACGGGAAAAGCTATGCAACTCCGCAAACAGTTTCAGTGAATTTGTAAGTTTCTCTCCACATATTATGTAGTCCATGGCGGACGGCAATAGTTGTCTATATAAGCTGAAGATCGTGATGTAGCGCGGGAACGATTACCGCCATTAGGCAACATGTCCAGCGTTGTCCGTGCCTTTGAAGCTAATTTCCAGCGCCTGCTAGTGCTGTGCCGGAGCCGTGCCGAAGAGATTGATCGATCAGCACGCAGTGCATTCAAATTGATTTCGGCACGGCGCTGGCACGACGCCGGCACACTGGCAACTTTGGTGCATCCTAATGAGTGGGTGCCACCGGAAGATAAGGGGCGCTCGCATCGCTTCGGTTTCGCTTATATCTGTCGACTGCCTTCGTCCGACAATGGACTCTAGTATGTTCGGTACGAGACCTATTAAACCGATGAGATTCAGAATGTCATATGGAAATGGTACCACGACGACGCCGCCACATCATGGACCAATGGTAACGATTTCTCCATTATACGCAGCTCGCGCACCACCATCTTCATGTCATTTTTGAAAACACGCTCTGCAATCTCCTATGACTTCTCAGCTTTCGGTAAGCTCAACTGCGTCGTCCTCCTTGGTAGATCGAAATCTTAGGACACAGGGAGAGGAACTTCTAACAAAATCATCCTTGGTTTTATTTTTTGTTCCAAGTTTTTCAACTGTCGTCGAAGAAGATCGCCTGATGTGGTATCGGAGTAGCATGATCAATTTTGATTTCCTATGTTTGCTGTATGGGAACCCCGATTTGAGACTAGACTTTTAAAAACAACAGGGGTTACGGCAACGATGTGAGGATAAACAGTTGAGCTTGCATGGCACGCCTAACTAACATTTATACTTCCTCGTTATGCTTCATATCTAACTTCTCTCCTTTTCTGTACCTTACTTTCTCATTACTCAGTAGACTTGTAGTGTTCTAGAGATTCTAGCTGTAATATAAAGTAGAACCTTCCTCAAACAAATATCCCAAAAGCTGGAAAAAATCCTGCAGTTTTTTCTATCAATAACAGTCTGATATGTAAGCTTCTATGCCTAATCATGGCACGCTATTGCAAATGGGAAGGATGAATTGTTAGAACATTGAGATTATTTGTTATAGTAGGAAGCAATCATTTTCATTCAGTGGTTGCAGTAGCTCCCCATTAAATGAATGGAATCTTTGAGCTCAGCGCACCGAAAAGTGTTCAAACAAAAAAAAAAGAGAGAAAATGTCATGCTTTGAATGCCAACAGCGGTCACGGATTGCATGTTTTTAAGTTTTGCACCTTAAAGTCATTAATTACGTTAGCTTAATGTTGACAGAACGGGATGACGTTCGCAATATGCAAAATCCTTTAAATCATAAGCTGAAAAAAGCTGAAACTGGATAGTGTAGCCCTTGTTGGAGTTTATAATCGAATCATCGCACGCAGAGACTGGACGCCGCGGTCGAATGAGAATGTTCGTGTTTGGAAGAGACGGCAGACGATATGAGGGATGATAGTGCGCTTGATCAGAGAGACGCCGACAGTTATCGCGCGCAGAGAGCCGCCGCATTCGCGCCATGTCTCTGCGCGCGATAACTCGACTATAGTTTGCATGCGATTTTAAATTGCATATATTGTGTTAAGGGCTGCAAAATCTCTTATTTGTGTTTGTAATCTCGAATGGTGATAGTGGTCCGGAAACTGATGGCACTTTGCATAAAAATTCAAATTTTTCATTCCACCTATCCCATAAGCATGTATAGTGATTTATTGAGCACAAAACATTTTTCAAAAGCACGGCACTTCATTTCCTTGCACTTTTTCCTTTTCAATACACCTTACGAGAGAGGTAAGAAAAACCGATTAATATTCACCATTTCAGATGACGTCACTATCAGTGAATCCGAATGAACGAGAAGTCTGTTAGTAACGGCGTACGACCATTCGGCTGTATGAAATCTCAATTAGACCTCATATCTGCACAATTTTTTTCCTTGGTTCCCTCCTCCCCCCCCCCCCTCTTCTTCCGTCATGCGAATATGCTGATGTCGCACTTCTTTCCTTGTTAATTTTTTTCTTTTTCTTGACGCGTGACCTGCGCTCGCCGCCGCCTTTTGCCATGTTTTTGCTGCTCTTTCATACTTTCGTAAACCGGTCCTGATTATTTCCCATTTATAGAATGATCTTCCTTGATGACGAAGGTATGAAGGTTGAACGTGAATGTGGTCATGAACCGCTTCTGTACTGTAAATTCCGCTGATCGTTGAGCTCAATCATAGTTATTGCATTATATTATTATGAAAATAAATTATATATAATGTTGTTTCTGTATTCTATGCGTTTCAAAAACTAATTATCAGTGGAGCAATGAGTCTTGTTCTAGCATTACGTGCCTCGTGTGCTGATTGCTTGCAGATTATCCGCATAACCGAGAGCAGCCGCAGATTTCATAAAGTATTTATTTTATGTATTCAAATGCGCAAAGCATCGGAGAATCTCTCAACCACGCTGTGGCAAATTTGTTCTAGGAAATTCTTCTTGTGAAAGCTGGTTAAGCATAAAGTATGGATATGAAAATCTAGCTTAACTTTGTGGAGTGAGCTAGTAACTAATAAATATCCAATCAAACTAAAATACACAACGAAACAAGAAGATTCCCATGAAAATGTGCGAATTTTGATTCTACAAGTCGCCAAGTAGCGCGCAAGGTGTGCGGTAAGCATAAAAAGTTACAAATAACTCGAGAATACAGACACCTGTTCCTCGACTAATTTGCCTGTTGTAGATACCTGTTTTGAAAAATATCAGTTACACCTATGATGCATCTCAAAAATTTTCTTTTTTGACTGTGATCCATGAACATGGAAACAAACACAAACGACGATCGAGGGGGGGGGGGAGTTAGATCTTCCCCATTTTGTTCTCTGCGACGGCAAGATCAAAACCCAGCGGTGCCTCGTAGGCTCGGCGTCTCTTTTGTCCTTTGGAGAGGAAGTTTCTGGGGTTCTATAGCCCCTCCTCTTTCCGTTAATCGACTCTTTTTTGGCTGAAATCTACTCAAAGAAACAGAAGCTAATGATAACGGACTAAGTAGTTCTAATCAGAACAGTAGAAACAGATTGAAGGGCATACCATTCATTCTCTGACTAAGAGGCGCGAGCACGTTTTGCGTACTTTGATCAACAAGTTCATGAATGAGTTCTACTGTGTTTTGATTGATTACTATCAGAAACTCGTGAGAGAACGTATTCAAGCGGTTTAACGAGCTCAAACACGTTCTTCCACGAATTCTAGTAGTACCAAAACACGTTAGAACTCATCATGAACTTGTTAATAAAATGTATGCAAAGCGAGCTCGCGTCTCCTAGTCAGAGACTAAATGATACTTTATAAAAGCTAAACATTACATACTTTCACGTTCGGCCCGTGATGACCAGATTTAAGCGACTGAAATGCTCTGACATGTTCAAGACGCCATATTAAAAACTAAATTTTCTCGCACGAAGTAGTGCACAAATGATTCGATCACGATGAACGCATAAGATTATGCTATAGGCGTTTTCCTTGCGCATAGCGGGCGTGACCGTGCAGACATTCAAACGCGTTGAAAAACTTGTTAAACCTCCACTCTAAAGCGTTAGTTTTCGTACTCTCTAGCTGCCAAAAACTGCCACGCGCATACGTTGGCAAACGTCGGCAAAGCTCCGCCCGCTATACTGTGGGGAAAGGACGATACCAATTCCGTTATACAGGGTGTTTTAAAAGTATGCACACATTGTTTGATCGTTAATATCTCTCTTTGCAAGAAGTCGCTTGCCTACCTTAAGGTATCGTTTTGTAAAGCTGACCTTCAATCTAGACTTACAGTATGGAGGAATCACTGATCGCGCTTCTGTATTACTGTAGGACTGCGGTACGAAATCCCAGCATACAGAACAGTTGCGAAATATGCAGAAAAATTTTTTTTCAAAATCGGAAATTAAGTGGCAGGTTTGTCGCATGTTGATGACGGGTGTAGGGCGATTCGCACGACCGTAATGCTTTCCGCACAGGACCACCGTCGAGCGCGACACACCCTGCGGCGGCTTTTGCCTAAGCAAAACAAAGGGAGAGAAGATTGCAGCGTGCGTGACGTGTTAAGGCAAGTCAAAATCAGGGTGGCGCTGGAGACCGTCCGTGCGAAAAGACCGTCTCTCGCTGATGACACTACACAACTTTCCACGAGTTTTCTGAACTTTTTTTGGTGAACAAAAGTGAAGCGTTGGACGTCAGACCGATAATGTCCAAGCTGTAAATAAAGAGTGAATTCTTTGTTCGTTATTGCTGGATTGGGAATCGAAAACGCTGTAGTGCCAAAAATGCCAGGAAAAGAGGTCTGCACAGCTAGAGTAGACGTCTCTAATTACAATGAAGACTGTGCGCCTTCTTTCCGACTAGTTTCATCATCTGAATGAATTTATCAGGCAATTCACTTACAATTCACTCACTGTTAGAACAAAGCGAGACTGTTGAGTGTTTAGCAGACATACTACATATGAAACACGAAGATCGAAGCCGAACTTGAAAAACTTTGGCTAAATGATCAAATATCCGTGCAAAAACAACTCTACATTTCCGATTTTCTCGCAATGGGAAATTTTAACCGTTTCATTTACATAAATAGTACCATTAATTACCCATTGGATAAGAAACGGAAGAACCCCAAATTTGCTTTGACTGATGCCAGCTTTGGTGTGTACCAAGTGATAGGGTAGACGAGTAGTTGTGGAATAGGTTTATTCACACTGGCGTAGATTAGTTGAGAGCGATCTGTCGAGGTGTCCCGGTGTTCACCGGGGAGCAACCTCCAATACATTCGGAGGCTCCTTATATAGGAAGAAAGGCGGAGCCAAACCGAATACAAGGTACAAAGTATACGAGTTGGTGCTTAAAAGGAGATGCCGCCGATTGGCTACACTCCTGGCGCACAGGTACCACTCACTCTTGAGTGATTAGATACTCGAGAGTGAGTAGCTCACCATTTAGCCTACGGGGATCCCGTAGGCTATACAGATTATAGAGTTCATCAATGGTTGATGATCCAGAAATCATCAACACTCCGGGCGAGCGAGAGGAAAGTGAGATCTGGTAAGATCTGGATGAGTGTGGACACCTGTGAGGTTGACTAGTAAGTTAGTGAGCATTATGTATACAGAATAGCGATCTTGAATAAGAGCTGCAAATAATGTTAACATTCACACGAAATCAATTCAATTCACAATATATGCACAATGGTATGATCAGTTGAGGTGGTTGATGGAGGCGAATTTCGTTTTGGCATTGCTCGTCGTCGTCGCCTTTTCTTCTTCGTCATTGATTTCGAATTAATAGTAGAAGCATTATTGACGGTCATCTTCTCGGTAGGCGCCGTTTTGATAAAGCGTGAACTTCTGTGATGTCTGCCCTTCGTCATCATTGTCTCTGCTTGCTTCCTAAGATACGACGAGGTGGTGGTCATTCCATTCGACATCATCGCAGACCATCGGAAGAGTTTGAAAGGGAACGGATTGTGTTCAGCCAACGTTGTCTGTCTGCTTGAGCTTCACGGAAGATGAAAGCTCTGAGCGTCTGCCCCATCTTTCTGGGTTGCCTTCCTTTAGATGAAGGGAATTGTTGTAGTTTTGTTGGCGGAGATGTTTCCTGTGGCGTTGATATGCAGCCGAAGGTACCAATGGATCTTGCTGTAATGGCGCTGCGATTTGTTCCTGATATGACGTAACCGAAGATTGTTGGGGTCAAAATGAGCCCGGAGGGGAGCGTGAGCACTCTCTCATTTCGAAGGATGACAAGATTTATGAGGTCTTGCCCGATGATCAGGTCCGGTAGAAGGCTTTTGTGAGAGAGCGTATCCTGAGCAATCATCAGCTTTCCGTCTTCGATGAAACGCAAGTCTGCCTCCGTGAGGCTTGCCGTCTGCATATCGGTAGTCAGCTTCTGCTTTGTATGCAATGACAACTTCTTGAGCTTCTCGGAGCTGTGAAGACTCTTCAAGGTGATATGCACTTCAGATGAGTTGAATTTCTCTTGATGTTCGCCCATTCCTGATGTAGTGAAAGAAGTAGTTCGGGCGATCGGAAGCTTGAGTTCTTCACAGAGTCCCGCTCTGATGAAGCTTCTTTGTGCCCCCGAGTCAAGGAGTATGGTCGTTGGTTGGTAATCCCACTGTGCTTCGTTGAAAATCAAGACTGAAGCGATTTGCAAAACGCACTGATTGTGGGCCAATGGAAATATATCTGGATTGTGTTTTTGTTCAGCCTGTAATCCTTGTACGACGTGCATGTTACTCATCTCGCTGCGATCCTGGTTCGTATCATGTTGTGGCCAAAAAGTGGGTGACTGTTGGTGATTTTCGAGTGCGGAATCTCGATGCGTGGAAAATTCGCTGCGTTGTCCTGCTTCTGACAAGCAAAGAGATCCGTGGTGCGATCCCTGGCATTTAGGGCATACTCCAATATTCGCACAATCGTTTGAGTCGTGGTTTCTTACGAATCATCTCCAGCACGCTCCTTGGTTTGTTGCTTCAAGTCGCCGAGCTTCTGGAGTGGTGTATCTCTGGCAGGTGTATGGCGAATGTGGTTGTCCACATACACACAGGCGTCTTGATTTCGAAAAATGTTCTTTTCCTTCGCATCTGAATCCTTTCATTTTCTTGGTTATTCGAGTGGTAGTCGGTTGAAAAGAGAGTTTCCGTCGTTAGCAAGATTGTCTCTCGTATTGAAATGATGCTGTCGATAGTGTTCAGGATTTCGCTAACATCAAATGGATCATCTTGTACCGCTTCTTTCTGGATGGCGGTCGTACAGATGGATTCGGGAAATTTGGAGAAGATTATTCGACGCCAAATTCTGTCTGCGTTCATCTTTGCTCCCGTTTGCTCCAGGTGAATGATCCTCGCATTGATTGCTTCAAAGGTTTCTCGGCAACTTTTCGGATTGTCTGATGCTCTGGGAAGTTTTTCGATCTCGTTTATGAGTATGTCTGCCATGTTGGCAGAGCGATCGAAATGCTTTTTTACAATTTCTATCGCTATCTCATATTTTTCTCCAACAACGGGGATGCAGCTTAGAGTGGCTGCTGCTTTTCCCTTTAGAGCTTGTTTCAGAAACAGGAATTTGTCCGTGTCGGATAACTCCTCGTCGGTGTGGATGAGTGATTCGAAGACTGTCCAGAAACTGTTGAACTCCCGGAAGTTGCCTGAGAACGTAGGAATTTCAAGCATGGGCTTCCGAATCTTGATCTGTCTTTCGTTGCGTTCCGGAGTTCCAGCTTG